CCACACATTCTGAACGCTGTAATTTTGTATTATTATAAATTTAGCGATTTGTAAAAAAAAAAGCAACATATATTTATACGCGGCATAAAAAGCTGCTTCAAATGCTCAGAATGTGTGACGAAAAAATCGTGCTTCGCGGACTGTTGCGTTGTTTGTATGCACAAAAACTTTCGTTACAACCTAGTATAAGCGCTAACCGGAGTGCCAAAATTGTTCAAAATCTCAGGGCACTCATTCCAGTTCGTCTACTTCCGCAACCGTTAGAGCTTTTCCAGAGCATTTGCCCATACGACCCCAGAAAGCCTGGAATGCTTAACATGAGAGAGTGCATCGTAAACACCCAAATGTTCCAGGTTTTAGAACGCTGGTTGGATTAGAAAAATATGAAGAAAAAGATTGAGAGAAGAAAGATGCACCTGTATCGGGGAAAGTGGGATGGTATCTCCTAGCAAGACCAAATAAATAGGGGTGAAGATTCCAGAACACTCTTGGCTTTTAAGCAGGACGAGCAAAGACACAAACACCAACACGAACCACCAACGCATCTTAATGGTCGTTGTCCCTTTCCAGTAGAAGTATGGTGACGAGGATGGAGATATCAAGTTCATGACATTTTCTCTATCGGTCATCCTCCCTTACTTGCCTCGAGACTGGAAGTGCTGAACATTCTTCGATGACATCTTTCGATGCATAGGAATCAGGGCCGGAAAAATAGCTGAATTGACATGTAAAAAAAAAGGAATATTTCAAAATTATTGTTATATCTCATATTTTATTTAAATAAAAAATAAAGGTGTAAGATTTATAGGCTTCTATTCGATCTGTTGGTTTGTTTGTTTTTTTTCATCCCACAGCCTCACTCTGGAGTCCTTCTTCGTTACTCTTCATTCATTTTTCACGATTTGCACCAAAGATGAAGGATGTAAGTAAATAATGATCCTGAAGCAGAAAGGCCTGATCAGAATGAAAAGTCATTTTTTCATCCTTTGTCAAGCTTGTCTACTCGGACTGCAGTTGCAATAGTCGTCCAAAAAGTTACCGCAAAGCACATCATTAGAATGAGGGTTAGAAGAAGGATGCATGTTGCAGTCAACTAGTGAAAGAGATTCATCCTCCAGCTTTCACCCCTTGAATCTTCTAGTAGAGCGCATGTTAATCAATCATGTCATCTCTCCTGCAGGCTTTTTACCGCTGACCACTTCTCATTATTGTTGAGCTAAGATGGGTCATTACGTTTCACGTGAAAAATGGCGAGAAAACGGCGAAAGTCCATCTGGCTAAACCGTTAACCGAGAAGAAAAGAAAGTTTGTTCCCTCCGTGAAATCTTCTGTTTCTCAAAATGCTCTTGCCTTTTTAGCTTCGCCTCTTTTTTTCCATCACAATGGGAATTTAAAAAAAAATTAAAATGAATTTAACACATCATTACAAAAAAGTCTAATTTAAAAATAGACCTTTAGCCAATTAAAGGGTTTGCCTCTGGAGCCAGGAAATTTTCCTCTTGAACTGAAACCCCGATGACGTTATGACTCTTTTAATTGAAGCGAATGCGATTTGGAAGTTTTCAAGTGTTAAGCAACGACTTGTGCATTAAGATATAAGTCGTTGCTCAGATATGTGAAATTTTTGGTTAAGATTTAATCCCAATGATTACATTGCAATTATTTTTTCCCTCATGGTCTCGGCCGGTTGGACTCGCAAGAAACTACCCAACCTCTGCCGATGCGGCTACAGTTTTACAGAACATTGGATGGCTAAATAAAAAAAAACTCTCTGCCGATCCCTCCAAGGATAGTGCCTCCAAAAATAATAAGTATACGATTGATTGCACTACGAGGCCACGAGGTGCTGGAATGAGGACCAGCTTTGCATTTATGCTTTTGTCCGAGTCATGCATAACTCCGTTACGCCATTTATGAGTAGAGGATTCACACATTCACCCGGTGGCGTGAAACGAAATGTGCTGAGAAATTATTCTGCTATGTATCCTGGTGCCGTGTTGCCAGACCGGAACTAGTAAAATTCATGGAACTGTTACAATGGGAGAACCGAAAGGCCACTGTTTCCACAACTAATTCATCTCTCTCTGAGATCTTCCAGAATCCCCCCCCCCCCCCCCAGTTCCCCTGAGAAATATTGTTTGAAATCGTGGGGGGGGGGAACGATTCAAAGGAAAAATTTTACCACCCAAATCTGTACTAACTATATCTTTGAAAGCAGAACATGGAGAAATGGAATCATCAATATCTTCCGAGTGCTATTCAACTGAGCCATACAAGTTATATTTCTAAATAAAAAAAAAGCATAGGAAGTTGAGACGAAATAGAAAAAAAGCTTATTCTTCGCGTCACTTCAACTGCTCGTTTCAGGTATATGACTAGATAATTTCCACTTCAGTACGTGTTTGTTATTCCTTTATTTTCAAGCATCCTTCCAATTGAAAAATTGTTTCGTATCGTAATTGTAACGTTATAATTTATTGCCATTGACTTCATTATTTTCTGTGGGAAGTGTTTCTTTTAAAAGCACCCAATTGTTCACATTTTACAACTTACTGAATCATGAATTTTGGAACATGCATGCAGGATTTCGAACTCTGTTAAGGCTTGAAATGCTAGACTTTTGAGATGAAATGATATTACTCTCAACCTACGGTGGAAAAATGTGCGAACGTTTTTTTAAGGTCCCGACGGTTTCAATTTTTCATGCGTTGATACCAGGGAATCAAAGACAATGTTTCAAACAAGTTAAATTATCCCAACATGAACGTGAATGTGCAGAGGAAGGTTTGGGTTTTATACATCTAAGCCATGCAGAAAGGAACAAACGCTAAACGCACTCAAAATGTACGGAGATAGACGCACTGAGAGACCGGCTGGAGAAATGGGCATAGCCCTGAGACGAAAGTGGTTGAAAGAATGTAGATTCGGGAAACATGCAAGAAATTATTGTTCTGGCAGAATACTTCTAATTTCCTGATGGCAGGAGTTTTCCCCTTCTCCATTACCTTTTCCATAGATTTTACCCCTGATTGAAATGAGTGAATTTGGACCAAATTTCACAAGGGTGTTGGGAACGTGGGGTCCCCGGGAACGTGTCAGTTTATGCGCAGAGCAAGTTTCGCAAAAATAGCTCCAGTAAGAGCCGAGACATAATTAAAAGTCGGAAATCTTTTTTTTTGCCATACCCAGTCAGCATGATCTTCAAGGTCTTGCATTTCTGCGGAAGGAGAGGGGGGGAGAAGGGGTGGGAACGCTGAGAGCTCGGCGACTGAAGCTCTGGAGATAATGTCTGGGAAGCAAGTCTTCAGCTCGAGGACAACAATCTGTTTCAGAGATGGTTTTCGGTTGCTTGAATCCCGGTATTGCCATCGGGTATTGCGCATGAGGAAATGTGAAAGTCGTTTGGGAGTTGTAGGAGAGCCTCTTTCTGATGCTCTACTGCAACTCCTAAACGTCCAGAGGATGAAAATAAGGTTCAAGTTTGATCACAGTTTAACCCCTTTTATTGTGAACACATTATCGATCAGAGTCCAAATGTAGGTGAATGAGAGTAGGGCCAGTCGGCGGTTGATATTTGCGGAGTGATCAAAAGGTTCTGTCACCCACTCGATCATATAACATGTAAGAGTTAAGTAAAAGTAAGACAATTGCTTCAGTACTTGAAGCGATGTCCCTTGAATAGGATACACTCAGGTCAGTGATCTGTTTGTCTCCCATAGAGCCAGTTTTTTATCATTCAATGTCATGGCTGCTGAAGTATTGATCACCTGGGCTGTCATAGTGTTCTCCCAAGAGCTGGTTCTTCATGAAGATAAATGGAAGTCACAGGGTTTCAAATCTGGAGTATACGGGAGGTGAGGCAAAATTTCCCCGGCTCCAGTTTTCAAAAGCAGTGATAGCTTGAGTGGAGTCTTTCTCCTTCATGGAAAATTGGACTTTGCACGTCAAGGCGAGTGTGGTTACTGTTGTGGAGGACTGAAGAAGGAAACTTTGCATCACCCCCCCCCCCCTCCGTATACTCTTGATTTGAGATCCTGTGACTTCCATCTGTCAACAGTCATGGAGAACAAGCTCCCGGGGGGAACGTTTGCCAGTCCAGACAGTCCAGACAGATGAAATCAAGGCAGTATTGTCATGACATCGAAGGACATTCAACGGGCTCCCAAGGACTGAAAATATCGTGGATAGCTGGGTCAAATAAATCCTATTCAAAGGAGATTGCTTCAACTAAGGAAGCATTTGTGCTACAAAAATGGCTACAAATGACAAATGACAGAAAATCTTGATCACACCACGTATTCACACCAGGTCGTCCAAGGACCCCTGGTATATACTAGATCTGGCTATACCAGACTTTTCATACTTATTCGTTTGAGTCCCAAAAATTGGAAATTATGTCTTACAATATAACTGTATTCATGAAATTGCGGGGAAAAAGGCCAAACGCCAGTAATGTCTTCGTAGACCATGCTAAGCATAATAAAGGTAATGAGAAGATCGAGCTCTTCAGTAAACGTTGCCTGGGTCTCAGGAGAATAAAGAGTTGTAAGGCGCGATTGAAATCCGTAGCTTGAATATGGAAGTAACTTTGAAATTCAGAGTTTAAATTGTGCCATTTCTATCGGATGGGGTTGGTTTCTAGGGGAAGTTCTAGTTGGGGTGGACTGCAGTATTGTGGCGCTCACATGAGCTAATGCGTAGAGCCTCCTACGCCTTATATTGGTTGATCTGCTTGGGGATACGTTTTCGAATCATGTCCTTGGTTGAACTTTTACTGAAATCTTTGAATTTGCAAACTTGAGGATGGGGATGGTACAAGTATGGAATTGGAGAGGGTGAGAAGGACGGAATGACGTCATGCGTTCAACGCCCGAGGAAGAAAGAGAGGGAGAGGAGAGAGAGCGAGAGACTGACCCTGACATCATTTCCTCCCTCCTCAGGACATGGATACACTCCATCCCTGTACGTGAACTACACGTATGAGGACTGGCTGGCTGGCTGGGTGTTGGCATTGCCCTTGCGTTTATTGCTCTCTCAAGGTCGACCGCTCTCCTTCCGTCTTTCTCCCCCTCGCGGTCTTTCTTTCTCTCCGTGCTGCACAGTGGTGATGTGATGACGTACATCGTTCACCGTACAATGCTGGTGCAGTGATGACCGCGCCCGAGGTCGACCGCTTCCCCCGCCTGTCTCTGTCATATTCACATCATCATCCTTCAGTTTGAAGCGGACAGCTCCTAGTGAAGGATCCTGATCCTCACGTGAGTTCAGTAGGCCTATGGCGCTAGGCTAAGTGACTGCATTGGGGACCCACCACAGTTCAGTGTTCAGTCTCTCCTTGGCCTGGGGAAGACGAGTAACTCCCCACCCCTGTTCCTGCGATTTCCGGGAATATGTGAGAAAGAGGACTATTGGCCACGTCCCCCCCCCCCCCCCCCCCATACCGCGACCCTGAAATCTCGCGTCCCTTTTTGAGTCTGCCTTCTTTCTAGGAAAAAGAAAGAAGTCACCTGTAGTCCCATTCCGTCTCTGCATTTCTATAGCACCACTTTTGTTGCGCGGAGATAACCAAAACAAAAATAGTGCATGGATTACGGTGAAATTATTGGCTTGCGAGTTCGTGAGCAAGACAGTATCCGTTTATGGTGAAGTTCAATGAAGAGCCCAAGCATTCTTGTCGCCATATTCGCATACTCCCTTGGCCCGCATTATCATCCACTCGCTCCAGCACTTCAACACTTCACGATGGGAAAAAAAAATCGATAAAAGGATTTCGATCGATACTCTGCATGCTATTGCACTTTGGTGAAAGGGGTGGTTACGAGATCGGCAGGACTTTCTTAGCCGTTTCCTATCTTCACCTGAATAGCAGCGTTATGTCAGAAGGGGATTCTGAGAAACGCAGGGCTGCATCCTGTTCTCTCTATTCCAAGAATCCTTTCGGTGGACGAGGCTTTCGTGCACCTCACCCCCAACGTCATTTGGTGTGCGAGGGGCATAATATTTCGTCTCGACTCGCTGCTCAAACCGTGGTGGTGATGGGATGCTGAAAAAGTGCCTTTCTCGTCTGGCTCTGGTAAGACAACTCGATTCAGTTCGGAGAGTTTGACAGAGGAACTGTGCTTGGCCGTTCCTTTTTAAGGAAAATGGAGGAAGTCATTCCGATGAAGCACGTCACCATAGTCAAATCCCCTCTTCACAAACAAAGGAAGTTTTTCTACGTTCAGATCTGACTCCATTACTTAGGGCACGAAGCTGGTATAACCACTCAGGTGGAATGATTGCTCCCCTCGCGAGCATCGAAGGCAAACGGACAAGGCTACTACGTATGGATAGTACATGTGGTCTCTGTCTCTAGACTGAGACGGATTGACGTCATTGGAATGACTTCCTCCTTTGTTTTCTCCCAAGCGGAATGTCATGCTCGTCCTACAATTTCAGGCAGTGTACTATCTCTCCGTTTCAAATAAGGATGCCTAAGAATTTCAGGCGCAGAAATGACATGCTGTCTGAAATTTCTGGCAAAGTGTCTGCAATTTGAGTTTGAATTTTTATTTCATTTTTCCTTCTTATATCGCCAATATACGATGGGAAAAATTCCATAAGATTTATTTCTATAATTCAGCAATTTGAGCATGATGCATTCGCCCATTACCGCGCGGTTTTATGACGTAAACGGTTAAGTTGCTGACGTTTTTCTAGTGCTATAATAGCCTTCTCAGTCGATCGTTTGGAAAATTTTTTTTATAGTAATGACGAGTTTTGGTCATTCCACTTAAAAACGACTAAAATGTGGCGAAAGCATGCTCAACCATCTGGAGGGGAAAAAAATGATAAAAATCATGGTAATAGGGGTCCACCCTGGTACTTGGAAACCACCGTTGAAAAAATGTTTGCCCTCCTTTCCGTTGTCTAAATCAGCCCTCCCTCCACAAGGCCTCCCAGGGTTCTATACGACTTAACTTCAACCCCTTTTATTGTAAAAATTATCAGTCGTATGAAAATAGGTTCCAATGGCAAATCATTGAGAAGACGAATTCGAGTGTGTAATATGTATCTACGCATGTAAATTTTTTTCGCAGAATTTCAAAGTTTAGCATATTTTCGATTTTGAGATCTGAATTTTGAGATTTGAGAATGTCAAAATTTTCCTAGCGCAAAACTTGGAAACGCCCTACTTGGGGTAATTCGTAGTAACCTATATAATACTTCAAAATGAGCTAAATTAGAACTTGGAACCTGCTACACTGAATTCCTCATAGTTTTTCATCTCGAAATTGTGAATTCAGTTACCTTTGACTTTGAATTTGACCATGTTAGACATTTTTTCATTTCAACCAATACATATTTTAGATATCGCTGAAGTTATTGAATTTATGCTAGCGATCGTTGTCGGTTTCAGATTGGTCACATGCACAGTTTCGAACCGGAATTTCTCCCCTAAATGATATACACGGGTGACCCAAAAAGTTACAATTCTATACGACCGCAGACAAAACACAATAAATGTCAGGAGGAAATTCACAGGGTCACACATCCAACATATGTGGGTGGTTTCACGAAAGCTTCAATGAAATTAGTCGTTAAGATTCCAAGTAAGAGGTTTTCTTCCACGCGGTGCCAAGTGGATTAGTGTGCCAGCATGCTTGACCTGGCTGCTGCCTCCGCGCACGAACGGACTCTCCCCTTAGGCAGGCGCAGTCATACATGCTAATCTGACTTAGCGCGAGAAGGAAAGGTGCTATTCGGGTTCTTAAAATTCACTCAATTTTGGTAAAACGCAAATTGGGTGTAATTAAATAATTCATTACCGAAGTTTTAAATGGTCATCCGTCGACAGCCGCGCAAAATTGGAAACGTTTTCTCCGGGCCACCCGGAGGTGCACCTCATATCATTTATATAAATAAAATTATTAAAAAAAAACTCCTATTCAAAAACCGTACTTGGGGCCGGTTCAAATGAACAGTTTCATAAGCACACATTCAGAACTTTAAAAAAGCATATCGGTTAGAGTAAAAAAAAAGGGTTTCACGTCGTCAAATACAAGGTCAAAAATGGCTAAAAGGATCTTTCTTCCCAACTTAAACTTAAATAAGACTTCGTTGGATTCAGTGGAACAAGTTTCAACTTGACAGTCGCAGGTCTTTCACAAGTTAGAAATTGTCCCAACGTGGGTGTTGCTCCCGAGTTTCGCACTGGAAAATTTTTTGTGATCATGAATGGCAAACTTTCGAATGTCAAAATTGACAGTTCAATTTTGAAAGTATTCAAAATAGTGCATCAAAATATAAATTATTTATTCTGGTTTATCTGTTGTAGTTTAATCATTTTGGCATTGGAATTATGCTCAATTATGTTCGTGGTTGAAGTTTGTTAAATAAAGGGATTTGAAGTTTGGTGAGGTATGGTGGGGCCCCGGAGGCGCCTTTCGGAGCACTTATTCAGGATACCCTGTACAAGCCTTTTTTGTCGTTGAGTATTATTTTGATGGCATCTGAGTGGGCCCAGAATAGGAGTTCCAATTTAGATAATCATGTTGCATGATGCCCATGGGCATTTATTGACGCTTGCTGATGGGGGATTTTTTTTCGCGAAGACTATTTTCAGCTGTCGAACTCTCTCTGTTGATCTGTTATGCATGTATTAGAGCCCGAGCCATTCTGCCGACGAGACTTGCAACGTATACTTTCAGCACATTGAGGATCATATTGGATTTGATTTAAAACTTAGCTCACCAGCCGCAGAGGCCGTATGGAGCTAAAGGCACAGTGTAGTCACAAGTTGATGGTGACTAATATTCCATGGGACTACAATAGCCTGGAATAGTTTGTCACATATTCTTGCTGTGTCAACGTATTTAGGGGAAAGGGGGTTTGTAATAAAAAAAAATTTTTGATATTGAGTTATCGAGTTAGTCGTGTTCTTGTAGTGTAGTCGAATGTTGAGTGTAAAAGTCCCAAAGTAATCCTCCATATTCTGAGTCTTGATTTTATGAAATTGGAATTATGAATGATCCTATAGGAGGAATTTGAGGGCTTTTGTTGTCGTTCATAGGATATTTGCAGATACCTGTTTTATGGTTTCTCAATTCTTAATCGAAAGCATTTTTTTAAATTCTCTTTGTTCATGATAGTTCCTTTTGTCTTCCTAGTCACTAGTTAAAGAAAAGCAGAGTCTCTCTTGCAATTCGTCGAAGGTAAAGGAATTTATTGTGACTGTCACCACTAGCATTCTTAGCTGCTGCGTCAACTACTCATGTTTCCAAAATGAGTAGGCATCCTAAAGAAATTTGTTGATGGCAGAAGGCGCGTCGAAATATGCTCTTCAGTATCCTACCTGAGGAGAATGTCAGCTTTATTCCTTAGTTTAGGCCAAGTGCCAAAAATGGACATATTTGAAGGATTTCCATTTTCTTGAAAGAATGAATGTTAGAACTTCTCAGGCCCGGATCATAATCGGAAGACCATTTAACATTTAATCCTGTATTTATCATTTTAACATTGCAGGAGCACTTCGGAGTGCATTAAAAAAAAAACTGATTTCTACTTCGTGATCATCTCCGTGGAATTCTCGTCGGATCGATACTTGAATTTTTTTTGCAGTTGAAAAGAAACCATCGTCAGTTATCTGACAAAGGAACGGATATACACATATGACAATTTACAGAATAAAAAAAAAATTCATTCTTTTTCAAACTGACACTGCCCTTTTGTCAGATCATTGACGATATGCCGTGTGTCAACTGTCTGAATCGTACATTGTGCCTGTCACGCCATTATAATCCATGATTTCATTTCCCACGAACTATTAAAATCTCGTATGGCATCGCTTCCTTCGAAAAAGATAAAAGCGAAAATGCTGATTTCTACTGCTTGACTGGTTGGCATGTGGTAGAGATCTGTAGATCTGACTGGACTTGATGTTTCAAGGTCATTGAATCGGTTCAGTTCGAAATACCAGTTTCGTCGTCTTTGTCGGAAAGAAATACGTCTGTCCATTGGCATTGGCCATCATCGAATTTCTTCGAATGCCCTACAGCCAATGGTTTCTTCTTGGAATAATGATCAAAAGATACTTTGTTCGCGGAGAGAATGGCTATTCAAGGATCTTAATGCATTTAGATCTTGCGCAATGGTTGAATGCATGAGGCCATGAATGGGTAGACGTTGGGTCATATGCCAAGAAAAGTCTCCGCCTAGTAGGGTAGTTATGATGTGGGAGCTACCTTGGTTTTGACTCATCCCGGCATAAATAAGAATCTCGTTGTACAGAGCCAAGTGCGATCTGGACAAGCGAGAATGGGCCGCCTCGAACTAGAGTAGCTCTTTTTGCATGGAGATCATCGAGTACGTTAACGAACAGTAGACGCGACTCACGAGGAATAAGTGAATTATCCAATATTATCTTTTGAGGGGAAACGATGAGACTTTCTCCATACTAATTTCCATGTTCGTCGCCTTCCTGGAAACATACTACATGGTGTTTTGATTTACATTATTAAAGCAGAAGGTATCACTGGTTCCTTCAAGGGAAATTAATTTCTTCTGCAGACACCATTCTCCCATTGAATGCCAATTGAAACGTGTGTGACGAAATGCCTGTGCCCCGACAAAATGAAATGCCTATTCCCCATTCCAAATGGTGTTTACACAGTGCTCGTAGGCATTCCCTCACCCCTTCACAGTTTGACAATTTGAACCTTATTAATATGTGCATGCTGACTTGGACCTGGTTCACAAATGCTGCTTTTCGAAGCTGCTGCTTACATCTTCCTATATTAACCTATAAAATCTTTGTGTTAAAAATAGTGATAGCGCGAGTTGCACGGTCGACGAGACAAGGAACGCATATATGAAAAAAAAATTATGGTACTACGATTGTGAGTCGCTCGAAGAGAACCATCTGTCGAGCGTAAATGGAACTTGAAGGACGGAAGCGGCTTTTTCCATTCCAAAGATTTTCCTCCTGATTATGTATGAGAGGGAGGCAAAAGGGAGGCCATCTTGCCTTCGCCTTGGTACCCTGGAGTGCCGGGCATCCTTTTCTTTTCAAGTTTTTTTTTTTCCACTCTTTGTGTTCGCTACTCACCTTAACATTCTATGATGTTTCCAGGACGAGACAACGTGTAGATGTTTCGGGAAGAGAAGAATTTCAATATTTTCTCATACCATACCCCTGAAACCGATTACATATGACGGAAGAAAATTTCCTTCTTTTCTGCTGAGTTACGATGCCACATAGTCAGACTACCATTAAAAAAAAAACAGCCATTGGAAATCGGCTTGTGCCTGACACGTCTTGGGTGTTCCGAACCCCAGGAGAGTCTTTGAATACCGATACTGAGCGAACCTTGAACCTTGACTCGTCCAGTTGTGTATATCAATATTTCATACGTTCACGTTCATGTAGTGGTGTGAGTGTGAAGTACGCCTCCATTCCTCACTGCTGCATCATTTTGACCTTTCGCGTCCCTGGTTCATGAGACTCCAAGGTCGTCATGACGTAACTTCCGTGTCTCGTGGAATGCATCCCTTAAGGCATCCTTGCAGACATTTCTCGCAATTGTTCCGCGTTTTACGCGCGACTCGTCTTCTCTGCCGAGCATCCCATCACAAAGGGAAGGAAAAGTCTGGTATCGTTCCTAGTATCACATTTCACTGGAAAGGATACTCCAACTGATATCCATTCCTGCAAAAGAGAGAAAAAAAAAGATGGAACACAGGATCACGTGGCAGAATTGTACATGCTCTGCGTTTGCGCCGCCTCTGCCGTCGTGGTTATTCTCGGAAAGCATTATGCGGCGAAACCGTACCTTCGTACTGCTAGGGTGCGGGAAATCTAGCTGATTTCGGGGGCTTTCAAGGACAGATTTTATCTCCGGTGCTTTCGTCTGGAGTCACACTTCCATTCCATGGACGTGTAAATTCATGGCCGAGTGTTTCCTTGCATTCTACTAATTCACCGCACTCCCTAGCTTTCATCTTTTGTCATGGACCGGGGAAGGAAATCGTTAGTATCTCTTTCGGCGGTAGAAATCTTTTTCTCTCTCGGTCTAGTTCACCATGACTACGACGGAGCTATTTCCACGCTCTGCAGGTTCCTGTAGATCAGGGTTCGGGAACCTATGGCGCATGAGCCAAATTTTGCTCACGAGCCGAAAAGTTTGACTCATTGAGTCATGGCTGAAAATCATGGTTGTTCCTCATTTTTCTCATGTATCAACGCATATGTCTGTTGCCAACTTCAGGAAAAATTATGTTCTGAAAATCTTACGCTCACAAGCACTTAGCTCAATCTTAACGTGGCTCACATGGCCAAAAAGGTTCCTGACCCCTGCTGTAGACTATACCAGATTCCCTTCATAGTGAATTGGAATCGGAATCATAGAAGAGTGGAAAATTCATTCATGCCGACATATGACAACATGGAGGCATTTCTGATAGGTTCAAGGCCTTCATGCTCTTGACTGAAATTGATGCACGTTGTTTCCGAACGACCTCCCGACGTAGCGGTGCCGCCACATATCACCCTGGCAGCTCATTTTCTTCTTTCTTTGTCTTAGCATGGTCGTGGTCCAAATATAATCTTTTGCGGGCTAGATGTGGTCCACGGGTCGTGACCTGCTCGAAAACATCACTGGAGCATATTAGTCCGCACCGTTCATGCTCTTCTACCTTCCCAATAATCTCTTGTATAACAACGAATCGTGAGTCAACCTCAGGATTTTGGCAGTTTTTGGTGAGTCGGGTCCACACCAGATCCGGAAATCCGGAACTGTTGGAATGAGATATATGGATTTGTAGAGTTTGATCTGAGAAGCATTTTAGCGAGGTTTTTTCGATGGATTGAGTGGTCTTAGTAATGTTGTATTCCACTTAAGTTGACCACCTTCACCATGTGGTCAGGCTATCTGGCTAGTTACGGTCGTCGTTCTTTTTCTTGTGTCCTCCTACCTCTCGTTCTCAGACAAACTGCAGTCGGTTTTATTCCCCCCACCATCATTCAACATTATCATCGTCATTCTACAGCTCATTACTCTCTGTAAGCAATGGTCGGTCCAGCAGAACTGGTTACCGTTCATCATTCTGCTATATTTTCTTCTACCGCACGGACTCATGATTTTTACTTTTCTTTGTAGGTGTCTGGGATATCAGCCCGTTCTGACCGCTGTCGCCTTATCCATTGAAGTTTAAAACTACTTATCATGTTGGTGTGTTAGCTTGAAACCATTGGAATGGCAACGCGTGTTATTGCTCATTCACAGGAAGCTTGTTCGCTAGAACAAGTTGAACTAAGCAACAAACTCATTCTAATGGTTAGAACCAAGCTTTTGCTTCTTCCTGACTTTTTTCAGGTTGTTAATCCTGTTTTTTATTTGGGTTTCAGAAGGCAATCCTTCGCTATCGATACTGAAATGCGCTCTGAATGTCTTCAGGCCTCCTTTGGGTTTAAGACCTGCGTTCTTGGCTTCACGTACAACAGTATTCAACTCACTCTGAAAAAAACTTTCCGAGTGGCCCACGTAAAACAGATATTGCCTTACATAAGCATTATGACCCCTGGCTAAGTTTTGTAAGAAATCTTCCTTATATTCCTCACAATAAATCTTTGCTATCCTCCTAAGTTCACCTCCGTTGCGGGATTGCCGTACACCGTTTGGATTCATCATAAGGCAACGCGTATTCTGGCATATTTCCAAGTTGATTGGGGATATGCCGGATGGTAACTCCCGGACGTTGCGTACTAGAAGGACTCTGGCTGACTCAGGGATTTGTTGTAAAACTGTCATGAGCATAGACCGACATTAATCTAATGACACTGCATTTTCACCATTTAGTTGAAAGAAGAAAACCAAACCGATCCATCATTTCTCCACATAGCCATGACATTGTCATCCTGGCTCACTCTTTGGCAATGGATCCCGTTTAAATAAGAGAGCAAAGTTGTTTGATCTTCGCACAAAATGTGCCAGGTACGATGTCTCATTTTTCGTGGAGCAGTGTAAAACTCGAGTAGTTCACCTTAGGATTGGTAGACATGAGTACAAGATAGGTTCATTGAAAGCATTGACTCTTTTGGCACCTGCAACCTGCCTGCTATATCGATGCACTTGCCTCATCATTTATGAGTACCCAGCCCCAGTAGCACATAACATTGAATCAACATTGATTAAATGTTGATCCAACGTCCGGGTGTTGATTCAATGTGTTCTATGTTGATTCAATGTTAGGTGCTACTAGGGAGATAACTGTAGCATGTAAATATTTGAGCGGACCTTGAACCCACTGTAGGACACAACCTGGCACTTAATCTCTGCCGAAAAGCTGTTGGCTTCTTGAAGGACCTGGACGTGGATCGTGGCTTGGGGCTCAGTTGAACAAGTTAAGGGAGTCATTCCCCTCACTTTCGAACTGGTTATTTGGCTCTACGCATAAATTTTGCGTTCCCTTGTCTGACGCACGAGCAGGGCAATAAGCGCCATTGGATTGACATTTTCCGGAATTTCAAGTACTCGGGGAATTTTGTTTTCGCACTCTCTTTATTTATCTAAAACTGTTTTGTGGTTTTCTGCATCTTCCCGCGACGAACCACCGTCGTGATTTACTCATTCACGTGAGTGACGTTCGGTTAGGTCGCCGCGTCTTATTGCGCACCGGGACACTCAGTACCGCCGGCGTATTGCTCCCATCATGAAATCGCAGGCACCACTCATTTGCTCTTCGTCATTATAGGGTAGTGTCACCATTCTTACCTGCAAGTCTACCATGAATTTCAACGGGATTCATTTCTTCCTTCCTGGCATAAAGCACTAATACGCGCTGTCCCTCTGTGACAATGATACAGGTCGGCGCCATCTTGAATATATCACGTGAAGTTTAACCTGAGACGTTGGCGCCACAATGAACTTCTGTATCTCAGTCAACACTGTTAAAATTTTCATGGGTCCATATGCACTGTTGCCATATGTAGAACGGAAAGTCCAGGTTCACCTTGAACCATCCACGTACACCACGTATATCGTTTTTGGGCATTTAGAGGGTGAAAGTCCTAACCCCTTCAATAGAAAACAGTAAGAATCGCCTGAGATAACACCTCCAAAAGGAAAAGGGAGGCATGTGAAAACACAAGGTACACAGCACCAGGTCCTCCTCGAGAAGCTATTTCAACTCTTATCTCACTTTTCCTCACTGACAGCTAGACTAGACAGTTTCCATTGCCGCAGTCATGGAAATGAAGATTATATCTGTAGTGAATTCGGGTTGCACTTCAAGTATAATGCAGACTTCGACTTATGCCACTACACAGCGTTGGCAAAAATACATTTTTTAAATCGTATTTCAAGATAAATTAACCCTTTTAGTCCTTATTTAATGGGAAATAAACTGGAGATTTGGGTTTCATACAACATGCTCTTGTAGATTATATATATTTTTTCATATCCATCTGCCATCTGTGGGCGGCGTGATGACTTACTAGACACCGGGACTGACGAGTCCCGCGAGGATCGTAGTTAAGTCATTGCCACACAGCACCAGGAACGAAAGGGTTAAGTCAGATTTCTTCAATCGGAGATTTTTTCAGATCTTTTCTTGATACCTCCTTCATTATCCATTATTTAGGTGGGCATTAGGCTCTGGTAGAGGCTATAGTCTCCTAAGATCTAAAAACCATAGGATTATAATGCATGAATTATTTCTTGCCTACGCTGTTAGGAAATCTTATTCGCTAGTAAACCTTAGGATTTGACGAAGTGATACCGAAATTCTGCCAGAAATCTAGGAAAACTCATTACGTGATCCGAATCCTGTTTTGCTTTGTTTTTGATGTTAACCGAGGCCATTGTTGAAGATCGTCATACTTATACTTTTGAACAATTTTCTTTTGTTTCAACCAGTGCAGGAGGATGGAAGGCGATAGGACCGTGCCGGTGACGCCACGAAGACTAGCATGGCCGCACGTGTTCAGTCCTATGCTGGCCTCTCTCTCCCTTTGCCTGACGCTTTCCAACTTGTCCCGGTTCTCCCTGCTCACTGCACACTACGGAGGAGTGTTCCTCCTTCAATGGCTCTTCCTCAGTATCCTCTTCGGGATTCCGGCCATCGGCTTCTTCCTGTCCGCCGGGCAATATACAGGACTCGGTTACGTTCACCTCTGGTCCCTGTCCAGTCCCCTATTCAAAGGGATCGGGCTGGCTCTCCTTGTCATGCAGGCCTCCGTTGGCATCTATCTCTCTGTCCCTGTCTCCTGGATGTTCCTCTACTTGAGGGATTCCTTCGTCCTCAAATGGCAAGATTGCTTCATCCCATATCGAGGTAGGCTTACATCCTATTTTACTGCACTAAAATTAATAGGTTAATATATAATCATGACTCTTCACGCACCGACAACCCTTCTATCTGCAGACTGCGTGTTCAACAGCAGTTCAAGGGTCTCCGTAAACGTGGCCGACTATTTCAAGTAAGGCTGACATTTTCGGGACGCTCACGCCTTGACCAATCGTGCGTTGATTATCCATGCCGATGTTTTCTGCTGCCTGTAGTGGGCTAGTTCTCCGGAGACATGAGCCAATGGGAGACGACTGGGACCTAGGAAACATCCAGTTCCAGGGAGCTTTCAACCTTGCCATCGTCTGGATCCTCATCATGGTCTGTCTTAGCAAAGGTGAGTGTATATATCGTGCAGCTAGAGCATGCAGACCTGCAATGGATCATAATCTTCAGGGACTTGTTTAACCAGTGCGCGTTGTATCCTTCTATAAGGCCTGGAAGCATACGGGAAGCTGGTATACTTCTTCACCATCGTCCCCATCACGGGACTGATCCTCGTCTGTGGACAGATCATCAGGTTGGCCCATTCCGAAGTCCACTTGCTTCTTGCTCATTCCTCCTTCTTTGAACTCCTCTCGGACACCCAACAGTGGTTGGTTGTCGCACGGGAGGTTTTCTTCATCTGGATCATGCAAGGAGCTGCCGTCTTCCAGCTTTCATCCCATAATCCCCGGAGAAGGAATATCAGCCGAGATTTCCAGCTCCTCTCTGTTCTTGTCGTCGCCCTGTATCTCCTGATGGGATTCGCGGGTGCTGCCTGCCTTTCCATCATCCGACAACATGGTTTTTCTTACATTCCTTCCTCCTTCGAGTCTGGACACGCTTTCCAGTTCCTAGAGACTTCCCAAGAGCCTGGAGGGATCAAGCAAGGTCCAATCGAGGGTCGACAAATGATCGACACCCTTCTGGTTGGCTATTCTAGGAAAAATGCAATCATTCGTGGTGATACATATAGTGGATACGTCCCACTTCGATTGGCAACGGAAGTCTTCCCCGCTGTCACCGTCCTTCTTGGACCCGACGGATTCTCTCCCTTTTGGACCATGTTGTTTTATCTGAGCATGAGTCTCTGTGGATTGGCACACGTGATGGGTATATGGAGGAGTGTGATTGAAGGGATCCTCTGGTTGTCTCCGGCAAGATTCCTCGCGTGGGATACGACCATCACGTTCTTCACTTCCCTTGCTGCCTTCCTCATAACTCTCTCATTCACCACCCAGGCCGGGATACACTTGTTCTACTGGTGGGACTCTTGTATGGGGAGTGGGTGGTGGGAAATGTGCCTCTACCTGGGGGTCATCATTGCTCTTCTCTGGTTCCGACGGAAACCCTTCTCTGCCTGGGACATAGCTTCCCTCCTCACTCGAAAATCCCCATGTTCCACTCAACGATTCCTCCGGGCTGTCTTCTCCTTTCTTTGGATCTTACCTCTCCCCGCCTTCCTCCTCGTACGTGTCTGATACACAGGGTTTCTTTAAAAAATGTATACACACTTTAATATTTATATAACAATAACAATTTGAACATCTGTGGTAGTGAACCATGCAATTCAAACCCTTGCTTCTCCACACACCGGACATTGTACTTCTCTGAATTACTTAACATATATTTTTTTATTAGTAAAGTGTGTATACATTTTTTTGAGACACCCTGTATATATACTATATATTATTTCAAAGAGGCACCTATCGAAAACTTCCTGATGATGCTGTATCTGTATCAGGTGGTGGCCGTGGGTTCCTTGAGGACAGGGTCCTTTCGAGAACTCCTTCATTGGTCGGGGAATACCTTATATGAAGGATGGCCTCCCTGGGCTCGACAGCTTGGGGGTTGGTTCCAAGTCATCCCTCTTCTCCTCATCCCAACTGTTGCCATCTATCAGGTCCTTCGCCACATCTGTGACCCTTCCATCCCTGCCCCCTTTTCATCGGTCTGTCCAACTTCTCCTCATAAAGTACTCCTATGTAGCCATTGTCCTTTCAGATTTTGGCTTTATTCTCCTTTCTCTCAGCCTTGGAAAAAGCTGTGCCGACCAGAGGTAGATCCCGAGCTTGTCGAGGATCCTCGAACGGATCCCGAGATGGGTCCATCCTCGGGACCAGGGGGAGTGAATGAGGTCCGACTGGAATTGAGTCAATTTCAGCATCAGGAAGGGCACGATGAGCGTGGGGATCCCCCTCCCAAGTACAGCCCACCGCCATCATATTCCTTTGCGACGGGCGCGATGCTTGCAGAAGCGGTGAGGATCTCAAAGCTTCTCTTTTCATCGGCGTCCCCGTTGAGCCGGTTGGTCCCTGGTCGACGTAGTCTCCACGCCCATCCTCACCGGAGGCGGTCTTCCCCTTCACCGAACCCTGTTAAAAGAAGCCTGTCTGCCCCTCCGCAAAGACTTCCCTTCACCGTGTACTCACCTCAACCTTCCGCCCTCCATAGCTGACATGATTAGTCTTCAAGCGACGAAGCCTCCACGCTCACCCTGTCGATGTTCCCCGTCCGAAGAAGCAGCTTCTCCTTGAACCACCCCACTTCCCTCCTCCACCTTCCTCACCTTCATGCCTGAGTTGATCGGACCCCTGGCGACAGAACCTGCATGTCTACCTTTTATGGAGGAGATAATTACCTTTACTGAACTTCACTGAAAGAAGTTTTTCAGCAATAACCCTATACACCCCATTTGGACTTCCTCCTTCCCCTCCCACCCTCCTCCTCCACGCTTAATTCGAGTCCCCTGGTGAACTATGTGCCCTTTTTATGTGATTCTTATTCTTTCCCCTTGTGCATTTGCGTTCGAATGGATGAGCTTGCACATGCTGTAGTCTTTCAAAGTTTCCCATCGCTCCCTTGTAATCCATGATCCCGCCTTAGCTGTGATAAAGATGGGCTTTCCTGGTGTTCCTGAATATAGTGTACATTCCAAGGACTGCATTTAAAATCTTTTGACACTTGAATGAGAATCTCATGACTCGAGAGACGGTGATCCAAACATAAGTTTTTTTTTCTCTCTTCCCAGATGGGATCCAGGAATGTATGCAAGAAAACTTATCGATGGAGTGGGAAACAACCAGGAAGTCATCAGTCTCCCACATTTGCCTAGGTTTTTCTGGGCTGCAATGCATTCTAAAAACTTTTCCTGCATTTTGAGCCAATTGGCTCATTCATGCAAGGAATTCACACAAGGATGTTCATCAGTTATTAGTGCATCGACCACAGACGGTTATGTTTCTGCTGCATTATTTGAGAAAGAACGAATCAGCTAAAATTCACGAAAGCAAGTCAAAAAACGATCGGATCTCCACGGGGTGAAAAATAAATCAGGAGTACCTGTTTTAAATAGGGTACACTTACTGCAACACCCATGATGACGTCACGCTATACAACTGTCACAAAAATAAAGGCCGGATCCCAGTACTTCTGCACCCATACTAGATGGTTCGCCGAGAACGCATCTTGACGTGCAACCAGGGCCGGCCTTAGGCATGTGCTGCAAGTGCGCCCGCACAGGGCGCAAATTCACCTGGGGCGCCAAAACGTGACCGTATGAAGCAATAATGGATGCAATAATGGATGAAGCAATAATAATTCACTTCAGAAAGTGGATATGCCTTCTGTTTCGGTGTCATTTTGGACGCTAGGAATTGACCCTTCTCCCTTCAGGGGGTGGGGCGGCGTTTGGAGTCTCTTCGCACAGGGCGCCGAAATAGTTAGGGCCGGTCCTGCATGCAACTTGAGGTCGACCTACTGATAATTGTACAGTTATTCTCCTTATTCTGCCATGTAGGAGTGGCTCTCAGCCGATGGGTCGAGTTGTTATCATGGATGGGTCATGAAGGCTCAAAGAAAAAAGGCCAAAGTAAAGAACGAAGGATAAATACTGATACATCAAAAGTACTAAACCTAAGTCTCGTGTGAGAGCTTTCTGCTTATACAGGATGTCCCAAAAGGTATGGAAACATTTCAAAAATTAATATCTCACTAAATTATGCCTCAAATAAAATTATGAAAACAGTAAAATGAAGTGCAACTAAAACATTTTTCAACCTGTTATTGCAATTCCACATAAGCATTATTTATGGCTCTGTAGACGTCCAAACGATGTTCAAGTTCTTACCACAACTTACGCAGAGTGTCATGTATGTCTGGATAGCTGCATCAATTCTGTTCTTCAGATCAGATTGAAGATTGCTTGCTCAAGAAAAGTTGACAATGTCCTTGACATAGCCCCATAATAGTAAAAAAAAGTCAAAGAGGGATGGGTTCAGGCACAATGAAAAAGTCTAATTTTCTAAGATGTTGCAACTCCACATTTTAGCAAGTTAAGGCATGGAAAAGAAAACAGATCTGTGGATTGGACAAAGCAGGTTCATTCCGTGGCCACCAAGATCGCCTGAACTAACCCTAGAGGACTTTTTCTTGTGGGCTATGTCAAGGACATCGCTTACTGGAGAAAAGTAAACAATCGATCAGGATCCAAAGAACAGAATCGTCCGAACTGTCCTGATAGTTATGCCTAACACTCTGCAAAAGGTGTGGTAGGAGCTCGAACATCGCTTAGACATATACAGAATCACAAATGATGTCCATGTGGAATTGCAATAGCAGATTGAAAAATGTTTGAGTTGCACTTCATTTTACTATTTTAACCATCTTATTTGAGGCATAATTTAGAGAGATGTTAATTTTTTAAATGTTTCCATACCTTTTGGGACACCCTGTATTTATTGGAAGGAACCACTCTCCGATCCATATTACAAGCCAGCACAGGAATCCAGAGACGACCTGCTTGCAGACATTTCCATGAAAGGCAAAAAAAGGCTTGGAAATTCTAATTCACAATTCGAAAATGACACCGGATTCCCAACATATAATTATTCAACCAAAACTTTGGCCTTGGTAAATTTGGAGTACACGCCAAACTTGAGGCGAGTACTCGCTATGAAGAGTAATGAAAAGGTAACCTGAAGGTCAGATATGCCGTCCTTCCCTTTCTCCCGTGAATGCTGTAGGTAAGGGAAGAGTTTACATTTTTTGGATGCGTTCGTGATAAATCTGCCAGCCTCAGTTCGATGCCCAAGTCTCCGCTGCCCTCATAGTGGGGTATAGGCATATTAGGCAGGTATATTATGCATTTAGATTTACTTTGTTGCGCAGGTATTAGGAAGAGCGGATGCAATCTAGAGGTATAGACAATACCCAGGCCTTTGAAACGAAAGACTTAGGGGGCCCACAACTGTTAACAGCCCACCTAAGAAAGGTGTAACCGCAATCATGTGATTTTCTCCATCTTGATGAGTGATGCAACACGAATGAGAACATGAAAATTACTCAATATAACTGTTGATGAAGGCGCCATTCGACGGTCGGATGCCGTCTCGAGAAGAAACCTCGAAACCTCGTTGGTTCTGTGTTCCCCGGGAACACAGAACCAACGAGGCGGGCATTAACGTCGCATGCAAATCCAGTCCTTATTGTTCTGCTTGGCATTGGAGCGGAATACAGTACATCCCATGACGCAAGAGACGTAAGCACTTCCCGGTCGTTTGGAGGATGACATGCATTGTGGGACCTCATCATGAGGAATATCAAACGCCAAGGGAAATTATTAGCAAAGCGTTTGCTTCAGCTCCGGAGAGCTCTATCTTCCTTTTTTTCTCAAGCTCGTAGGGCGTGATCTGCTTCATGGAATTGCATACATAAGTAGGTTGAGGGAAAGCCATATCCGTGCAGCACGGAAGCGCAAGTCTCTGCCAGGCACCATTGTGAGCAAGGCCGCAGAGCAGGAAAAATTGAGTTAACGGAAACAGCTGGAGGTGTACCGTAGTGGGTGGGGCCTGGGCGGGGGTGGGCGACGCCCAGAGCCTTGTTTCCTCTCAAAAGGATAAATTATTCGGTGGCACACACAAGGAGGTCATCGACTTGTCAGGGGGAAATGTTTCTCTCCAGATCATTGATCAGACCAAAGTCTCTATCAAAGGCGATCAATGGCTAGCCTGAAACTAAGAATGAAGGGCTGGTGAAATTATTCAGAGGAGTGAATTAGGGCCCGTCCTAAACTTCCAGGGGAGTAATGACGAGTAATTCACGCGACAAAAAAAAACATGAGCTACATGAGTAATTCAGTGACATCCTTCGAGCAATTGACCCACCACTTCCCGCATCAGGTTACTTATTTGGATTTACGTTATTTTCCATCTGGGAAGTGGATGTACTAGTATGCATTCCATTTCAGCCTCCGTCAAGGATGCATGCAAGCCTCCAATGCAATTGGAAAATACTCGCTCTCACGCATCATCATCTGGCACTGTAAAGCCAGATTATTGCCCATCGTCGACTGGTTCCATAGTTTGTCCACCTTGCCAATGGAATGAAGTGATAACCATGTGAAATGACATACTGAACCTGTGGGAACATGCTTGAAAACTTGAGATGTTTCCCTTTGTTCATGTTGGTTAAATGTGCTGCTTAGCACATCTAACCAACATCCCTGATGCATTTAATCAGTTTTCAACCACTTGCCAAAGAAAAGTTCAGAACAAGAGGTGGTACTCTTGGAGAACTTCTAGATTACGAAAATATCGTTATGATATTTGCATGAAAAAGCTGGAGGAGTCAAGCAAGTTTGCAAGTCTTCTTCTTTTCATTATCATGCAAATACTTTTTTATTTGCAGAAGTTACCAAGGAATCGGTTGCATATCTACAACCACGCTTAAATAAACTACAAGAATAAATTAGTAGGTTCTTGGCATCTGGAGGAAACCTGAGCCTGGAGGGTAGCAAACTCATCTCGGACAGGTTTGGAGATGCGCACGAAAAAGAGTCCCACACACTCCTGACCTTAGAGAATCCATGATTTTCAAGCATCGCACTCCAGGCGAATATCCGAAAGAGCGTCTCTCAAATGACCGATTAGCTGAATTGATGGGCGCCAGTTTGACGACCCTCGCTAGTGAGAATTCGCCTAATGTAACATCACATTCGTCAAGAAGTGATCCCACGCCAAATCCACCAAGAGGTTGAGCTCGACCATCTCCAATATTGATGAATGTTTGAAAATATGTAGAGGAGTTCCTTTTAAGAGGAATTGAACCTTTCTTTTGGCATGTTGCACCGTTCTCCGGACATTCGGACTCGAATGTGACCTGTTTCAGATTTTAGCTCCCGGCGCTCATCAAGACTGGAACTGTGAAGTTTTTCAGCGACATCTCACCTAATTCAGATAAAAGCTTCATTCTGGTCTCATTTTATGAGTAAAATTGCACTCTCTATGATCGTACTACGAACAGAGCAAGGCAACTAACTCACTCGATCAGTTTGACCTACATCAATAATTTCACCATCCCCACCTCTCCGAGAATCCTAAGTTCGGTAGTTCATAAAAAAAATACATTTTTTTGTTTGTACCCCTTCTAATGATATCAAACTCAAGATTGGCACTCAATTGCTTTCCGATAAGGAAGCACTCAAGAAACCACACCAATGAAAATTTGATTCGAAGGTACCGAGTTGCACTTATTTAAGTCTCTTCTGTGCGTTTCATGAATAAAAAAAAACAAACAAATGTCTTGCTTATGCCTCCAGGAAACGTGTAGCTCAGTTCAGAGGATGCATTTGGAACAGTCAATAGGATATGCTCAAGTATGATTTTACATCTCTCAATTTCTGTGCTTTTCTCTCTTGAGCTAGTCCCCATTGCAGCGTAATTGGATCGTGATGCCCTCGAAGTCCTAGTTTTTCAAAAACAGTCACCATGCACCACTATTCTTTGTTCGTTACAGTCACAAGTTGTCTGATTGCCAGGTCCCGCGCTCTTAGAACGGAAACCACGGGAATAAAAATGGGAAAAAGTCAAATATTTGTGGAATAATGTCTGTGACACTGAACACAATAAACAATTCCCTGTTTGTCAGTTCCTTCCGTTATAGTTAATTGGTGGTGTCAAACCCATAAACTTGCCGTAGGCTAACCCCTACGAAGAATCACTGTGCGAGTGCCTCTTTGCGGTATGAGCTGTTGTTAATTGGGACGAAGGTGTGAAAATGGAATGTTCCTGAATGGCGCAGCAATATTGGAACTGCAATTTCTCCTCCTGCTCTTAATCTCCTTTTCTCTATATAATAATGCACGACGTTCGCAATTGACGCAGCTTTCCGGTGTTCTCTCAAGTGGTGCCTGGACATCAATGTCACTGTTTCTTTCATCACAACAAGGAAAAGTTGCTAACTGGGAATCATAAGATCGAACCGTCAGGAAAGAGTCAGAGAGAGAGAGAGAGAGAGAGAGGAAGAGGGAGAAGATGATTAAGAGAGTTACTGAGGGAGCTAACTGAAAGCCTCAGAGTGTAATACAGTATCTGGAAAAAAAATGTGAGATTTAATAGCAATTTAGAAAGGTTTGAATTCACAATTTCTTAGTTCTCAGCAATTCTGGTATCGAACCAGATTGCCATTTCATCAAGTGAAGCAAGCTCTTCCATTGAATGTTAAAATTAACATTTTCATAGCAACACAGGGTTAACCGAATTCTGTGTCACTGTGTACTTCATGTACTTCACTGGATATAATCAGCATTTCACAGGACAGAGCGTTAGAAGTAAAGATGTGAAACACAGAGATGCTGTCATCTGAGACAAACCGACTAGATGACAGTTTTTGAATTCATAAGGCAATTTCCTCATCTTGATCACATTCTGATTTCCATAGAAGCATGACAGAAGAAAGTACCAGAGCACAATGAAGGTTGACAATTTGCAATCATTTATTTCCTTTGGGACTACAAGGGGACTGGTATCTCTCTCACTGGCATGGGAAAAAAACAACATAAGCATCATAATTTCTTTGCATGTAACTCAGGAGGGAATTCCACCAACATTTGAGATAGGTAGGAGGAATGATGAAAAAGTTCTTAAATAGAGGTGCAGGTCTTTCAACGAAGCTAGCATCCCAAACCACGAGTCAAACTTTTGTACCTTTAAAGAGGTGGGGAAAAGAGTGCAGGCTAGTGGTGGGACCATGACCATATTGCAAGTCCAAGTTTCCCTCATCCTCCTTTATTATGGCATCATGATCGAGACTGAAATTAGATGTGTGAGTAAACTTACGCATTACTCAGAACAGTCTCATTCAACTTTTTTCACACTCTCATGGAATTACAGCATGAGAGAAACAATATTTTTTGGGAAAAAATTTTGCTCACAGATGCAGGCTACCTATGGAAGCAATCTCACACAAGTATAGTTTTTGCACATGTAAACCCATCCAAATAAGTATTATCTCACAAATGGGATTTAATGTCAAAGATTGCATTCATTCCTCCCTTCAGGGAATGAGTTAATTGTCCCAAGGCATATTCTTGGAAAAATCGCATTTGAAAATCAAATGAGTGAAGGTCAATTCAAAGAATTGATCCTCTTGCACCTGTATGGCCTAGCATAGGCCTAGATACATCACGTCATTTCTTCCTTACACCTGTCTAGCTCTGCCTCTTTCCATTAAAGGTTTGATCTTATTCAGGGCAGATTGATCAAAAGAGAGTGGACTTCCTGGAGTCCACATACCACCATTAACACTGTTTATGGAGCATCCAACGAGGTGAGAGTATTCCCTCCATGAAAAACATTTGGCCCATGTTAAACATGGTAGAAATTAACTTGAAAGCGACCATGTTTGAGGATGAAGCAACCAGCACCATTGATAGAAGGAGCTCTTTAGTACTCAAAGATTCATGAACCCAAGATCAGCCATCTGTACTTATGTCAATGCAATGCCATATATCATGGATGCTATCCAAAATCCAACATGTATATAGACAAGAAAAAGGCAACAAGTTAGGAAGCGTAGTGAAGACAGAATGTGATACAAGGCACCAAGCCACTGAAACCTGGAAATGATATGGTAACATTCTCACTTGGGTAGGAATGTTGCAGAGTGAAGCTGTTATTTCAACACTAAAACAAAAAAGGAAGAACAACAGGAAAATGGCTGACAGCACATTTTGGTACACACAAACACTGACAGATGTGCACACACACACACACACACAAACAGACCATCATAACTGACTCATTGATTGGTCCCTTGCAACCTACAGAAAAATAGCTTCTTATTTCAGTTGGTCCATTTTTTACCACCATTTGAGTAGGGAATACTAGTGGAAGACAGGGGAAATATGAGGTGATGTGTCTCTTTTTCTCACAGATCCTCAGTCACTTCCCTTGGGATGGATGTTGTGTAGGTTGGTGTCTCCAACTCTTCATGCTTCCTCATTTTTACACCCTGTAAAGAGAGAAGTGATTAGGGCTAAAAAAAAATGTCAGGAACATAGATTATCACAGATTAACTGAACACAGAAATAAGACATGCTTGAAATCATGACAATGGGAATAGCTTTTTCTGATTGAGAAAAAGAAAGGAGACCACATCAATCCAAGGCAATATTCCTCTTAATACTGTAGTCATAGGTCAGGGATGTACATGAAAAAAAAAAAAAATTGGCAGCTTCCCTGATCTCAGTATGACCAATATAGAAGGTCCCCATGTGGGCTCACCAACCATAGAAAGCCCATTGATGTAAACCTTCAACAACATGACCACAAGTGATGTCTCATTGTACCCAACACAGGTACCAATCAGTGGTTCCTTTATGCATATGAGGCTGTTGAAAAGTTCCCAGACTAAATACAACAGAAATTCTTATATGAAACACCACTCTCTGGGAGTATGTTACACACAATGAAAAGCAGCAAACAATGCAGCAGATATGTTTAAAAATACCTTGCCTCAAAGCTATTCTTTCTGTTTTGAGAATATGAACATTTTGAAGCAAATTTTGCATTGAAGGGGGTTGGTTTGACTTTTTCAAATAAAATTTTTGGAAAACACAAAATGAAAGTTTCATTCACAGCATTTTAAGTTTTTCCTTGTCATATCTTTTCAAGCAATTTTATGCAAGTCTATTTCCAAGAAATCTGGTTAAAACAAATTCAGAGTTTATTATGGCCATAACATATGATCATATCAAGATATAGTGTACTATTCCATTTGATGAAATATTCAATATTTTCTTTTTTGAAATACTATGCAAGAGGATGCCTCAAAACAAGATGGCTGTACCATATTTCTCAGAATCCACTGGCAATAGGACAAGGGGTTAACAGCACCACTGAGAACAAGAGTTGTGGCCTCCAAAGAGACTGACACTGCAAACTTCTCATTATAAAAAAAAAACTTATTCAAACCTGCAAAGACATGGAGATCCTTGAATCTCAATTGTGAATCTCAAGAATAAGGAGTCAGAAATAGGGAAGCCACATTTACCTGCTGGAGTTTGTAGTGATTGATGATATCCTGGTCAGCAGGACAGCTTTGGGTGAAGGCATCCAATTGGTATGTGTTTTTCATGTAACGCCATAAGTGATGCATGTCTGAGGGGATGTTGAAATCCAGGAAATGCTTCCCAGCAACACGGATATGCTGCAGGCGGGGCATGAGCTCACAGTCAAAGCAGCACATGGTATCTCCCGTCAGGAACCTGGTTCCCTTTGCTCCAAGATGTTCATCAATTTTCTTCAAATGTCCCAACAAGATGTTCTTGCTCCCCTCATCTCGCTTTGTCAGGTACAGCTTGAATTTCTGAGAAAGAAATCAAATAGGACTAGAGAAACCTTTGCCTATATTCCTCCTCCCTTTAAAGCAGCTCTACCCACATTATAAACATTCTCAATCTTCCGGGCAACATCATTGTCCTGGACGAAGAGGTTGTGGCCTCCAGGGATGTTCTTCAAGATGTGCCGCTCGATGCTCTCATTATCCAAAACAGCCAGGCCATTGTCAATCAAGATTGGTGGTGGTGTGGCTTCAAAATTTGACCTGTATAAAACAATGGAATTAAACATAATGTGGAACTCTGCTGAGGCCCCGATTCTGACAAGAGCTATAGGTGCCAAGCAATTTCTTCCTCTTCAAACAAATCAGAGAAGCAATGGACAGAGGAGTCAAAAGAAAGCAACGAACCTGAAATCAGGTGGAGGCTTGAGCATATCCACTGTGGTGACTTTCAAGCTGATGGTTTTCATCTCAGCCAAGAGGTACAAATCCATGAAATACTCTTGACAGAAGAGGCATGCTCCCTTTCTCCGTCCATCAATTGTAGAAGCCTGGAAAGGAAACTCTTGCATCATACTTCTCACCCAATAGTTGAATATGCCAGACAAATATGAAAATGAAAGTCAACTTTTGTTTTGAGTTTGCACACAGAACAGAAACTGAAGCAAGCAAAGCAATTTTTATCTTTAAGATGTTCATAATTTTCTGAAAGTCCATGACATTTTCTTCATTTGGGACTCGTGTGGCTTCTAACCACAGGTCCCAACCAGATCTGCAAGAAAATCATGGTATCTCTATGCTCAATTTCAAGATATCACATCCAAAACAAGACTTTCTCAGTAGCAGAATTAACCCTGCTTGGGGCCACGTCAAGATATTTCGAGTTATTGGAACCTAAGTCAGGGCAATAATCTGAATCTTCACGATCTGAAATCATGGTACCATGCCCATCAAGAAATCACGGTTCGGTCGGGCTTATAATTGGGGCTTTAGATCGACTTGAAATGTCTTGCTCAACTGTTGAGTCCGTGAGTAACAAGCGACGAAAAAGGTGTCTTATCGAAGACGTTTCATTAGGATCGCATCACAGTCCACAATATGTTGAATGACTATCCTTCATGATCATTCCATGTCTCTAGTTCTCGTCCTGTATCCCGCTGGGTTTTTTTACTAGGCAACGAGGGTCTCCAAATCCAATTTGAAAGAAAGCTGGAGAAAGGAGGCGTTCTCCTCTTTCCCATCTGCAACATTGGGAGATAGAATAAGACAAGATAACATCATGCCATGGTTTGGTTCGATGTTTCCTTGGTTCTAGCTCACGGACCAGAGAACCAAGTCACCATTCCATGACATGGTTACTTGCCCGTCCTGTCACAATCGTTTCGCAGACAGGCCTATAGAAAGTGAGAGCGAGAGGAGTTGTTTCCGGCCCAGCATTACGCAATGCCTTTTCCTCTCCCGATACGAGTCAACAGCCCCGTCAGCCGAATGCAGCTAGGTCAACATGCGTGGACGTGTCCATGAAGAATTATTTGTCGAAGGCGGGGGGAATGGAGATGGGATGAGTCAGGCACTAACCACAACGAAATGGCTCACCTTAATGATCAATTCCACTTCAGGGATGTCCCCATTTGTTGTTCCATTCACACCCGTATCGGGATCCATGTCCTCTCTTTTTGTTTCTTGTTATCTGTTTTAATTTTCAATTTTTTTTAAATTTTTAATCCGTAGAATTGATGTCAAAAAAAAGACAAGCAGCACCTGCAAAAATACTGGGTTAGCCTCTTCCACTCACAGATCAAGTATAGGTCATTCGAAAATTTTAGCGCCTACATTAGGATCCTAGGCCTATTGAATTAACGCAATCTCACAATGGAAGTTACTCCTATCGATGAAAATTACATTATCGCAAAGACGTCTCAGCTAGTTCCACTACTGGGTTCATGACTTTGTGGGCCTTGAGTTTGGCAAGTTTTTGAGCCAAACCGATTACTTCTCCTGGCTTATTTTGAGCGGTAGTGTTTAACTCAAAACAAGGCGTCTCAAAATAGATACACAACAATAGCCTAAATGTCTCATTTTCCTCCGAATATTTTATATTCAATAAAGCGGCATATGGTGTATGGCCAATGTTACCCTATCGCTCCATGTTTGCCAGAAGTTCCCTGTCAACTCTCGCTAAGCACTGTAAAAGCACCGATGGCCGTGGTGAATCTGTCTAAATTGCCCTCAGAGGCATGAGACAATCAAAGAATATGAGTGCAGCCATACTTGCCTCATTTAGTGTTCGCCACTAATAGAGACACAATTTTCACATTTCTTCATTTTGGAATGCTAATAAATCATAAGCAGTTATTCATATGAAATACTGAGCGTAAAAATTGGATGATATTCAAGTGGCCTAATTTTATTTGACCAAAGTGACTGTAAGTAAAACGTAATTTTCTTAATTTACTCAAATGTTTGCAGCTCTGGATTCTCTAGACCAGTGGTGCACAACATACGGCCCGCGAGAACCTTGCCTGCGGCCTCCATGACTGGTGGCGTTGTAAGTGCTACTATGGTAAGCCAGACAGAAGATCGGGTCTGGCACCCGTGTGGCCCGCAGTATGTAGTAAAAATCGCAAATGACCCTCACAGTCTTTTGAGTTGTGCACCCCTGCTCTTGACTAATTTCAAAATGCATTTGCAAACACAGGAACAAATGATGAGCATGTCTTCAAAATCTGACATGTCCACCAACAACATTTCAACACACGTACAACCATGAGGGTTAAGAATGTAAACGTATCTCTAAGAGGGCATACTAATCTTTCAGGTCTTCCAGCACAGCAAAGAAGTGCTCAACTGGGAAATCTCTAGTCTCCTGGAGCATCGATACCAGAGGCTGAAATGACAAAGAAATGATGCCAGTGGACTTCCACATTTCATGGATGTCAGTAAACTCAAAATTATATGTGCTTTCCTGAAGTAGAGTTTTTCTTGCCAAAGTTTCACATGTGAGCTCCATACGGGGGACAGCAGCAGGGAATAACTATAATATACCACCCAGCATTTACCTTCTACCAATGAGTAGATATGATGCACTGCCTCTACAACTCAACTTCAATACTTCATGAATGACTTCCCACATTCCTGTTAGTGTTTTCTTGAGTGCTTTGATTATTCTGCATTAAGTCCTCACATTAGTTTCATGGTCAAAATGTTGAACATATACTGAAACAACCATCATTTTCAGCTTCATTTTCCTGTACCAGACTCTTAAAACAATTTATATATAGCTTACTTTTCTCTTCTAATTTAATAACAGTTTCATCCAAGGTTTTGATGCTAAGAGTAGTAGATGAGGAGTAGGAATTTATTATAGACAAATGGTTGTTCAAGGATTTCATTATTGTAGCATGAAGACTGCCAGGATACATTAGGGTCATCAACAGAATAAAAAATTTATTCCAGGATGAATTCACCATGTCACAGAATACTGCTAAGGAGAGTTTTCAATTACCTTTTCACAAGATCTAGTCACAGGAATTGGATCAAATGAATGTTCATAAATTCTGGAAATCTTATCTATGCTATGAAAGGTATCAGAGAGTAGCTTAGGCTGCCATAATTCTGGTTGGATCAAGGATCTGAATCTGTGTAATGTCATGATAGTTAAAAAGTTGCTGCCCTGATCAATCTTTAGCAGCAACATTTCAAGGCTCTTACAGGGAGGCCTGTAAAATACTACACCAATTAATTTTGACTCGATACCCTTTCAGGAGCAAGATATGCCTCACTTCATTTGTTTTTAACCTCCTCTCAAGCAGGAGACCTTTTCTTTAAGACCCTGTAAACTTGCCTCTGCTTTCCCTATCCCTTGCTTTCAGGAGAGACAATCAAGGACAGCCCTAAGAAAAGCAGAAGTCTTGCTTATTTTGCATCAGATAGCATTAAACTAGTGGCAATTTGACATCTTAAATTCTGGGTAGCTAAATTACTTCCCTGCATTCTAATTTATCTAGCCCCTTGAAGCAAAAGTGAATCCCATGAATCTTCCTAGAGTAAGACGTTCTAGCAGCAATTACAGTTGATGCAGAAGGAATAAGCTTATACTAAATCAAAATTCTAACATTCAAAAGAAGCACAAGTCATCATATGATAAGAAATCCTAAAATTAGGAGTGCAAAACATTGGTGCAAACATCACCAATTAAGGAATCACAGGTATATAAATATGCAATATGGACAACTTTTTCAACACACCTTAGGAAGTAGACAAGTGCTTTGCCATAGGTCTATCAGCTCAGATCATGCAGGCATTCTGAAATCATCATTATCAAACATTTGGCTTATGATGATGTAATGTTCTTCAGTTGCATTCAGCAATTTTTTGCAATAGTCCAACAGGTTTTCATTTGGCATGACACAATTATTTTTAATCTAGCTTGAGTGTAGGCAAATGAATATGACAATTAACTGGGTACTGTAGTTCCCATATGCACTTCACAGCAGAGTGAGGAGTATACTCACATATGCCTGTGCACACCATATACACCACAGTCCCCTCCTTCCTTTCATTGTACAGAGTAACTATCAATACATGCTCAACTTACAAAACCTGGAGTTCCACTTCCCTTGCACAACAGGAGGTGCGATTCTTGGGGTGGGAAAGGCAGGATCCCTGCATTGACAAGGGGTGCATACACTGTTTTCGGATTGAATTGGTACCCCCCTACTGTGGAGAACAGAGAAAACGCAAGCTTTCCAGACGATCTTCAAGATGTCAAGCCTGATGCTCCACATGGTTGTTGGATGGTTCTATTAATACTTCACCTTCCTCCCACAAGGTGTCCTGCCTATACTTGATGGAAGCGCTCCTGGGGGGGGTTACCAATTCAATCCGAAAACAGTGTATCCTTGGATCTTTAACCCTTCAACTCACGAGTTTCCTAAGCTGCGTGCGCATACTGGAGCCAGAATTGGACTGAAGGTGATCCAGCCCATGGAGCTATTATGAGTATACTCAAGCATGGGATTTAAAGGGTTAAGACACCCTCTGCTGCACTGTAACCGTCCTATTTATAAGTTTTCACTCATGTGTCAGTATTAACATTTTCTATCTGATGAATGTGAATGTACATCCAGCCCCAACTACCATGAGACAACAGTGGATGTCCTTCAAAAATTTTTAAAAATTAGGTATAATTTTCCACAATAAAACAGATTAAGTAATGTAAAACAGAGTTGGTAATTCCACATTAAAATAGAGATTATAGCAACAATTTCAAATAAAGTGGAGGTTTCTATCATTTTACATTCCAAGATTATAAATTATTTTGCAGACCTCCAAAAAGTCATGCACCCTAGGGACCAATAGTTTTAACAGTCATAGACATGGACTTTAGAACCCCATACACAAGTGAACATGCAAGTGACTTTATTGAATGGGTCCTTAAACAGCAAAGGATTATTCTCATTAAATGCATACATGGCTAGTTGGTCTAGCCAACAAGTTCTTCCAATAACTGGAATGAGCCAACTTTGATAGGACTGTTAATATTAAGCATATGCGTCTAGATACAGCCTATGTATTTTCTGCATAATAGGCCTACTTGGACAAGGAATATTACCTATTTTATGCAGACACAAAAACTGGTATTAGTAATAGTCATCTTGAAAAGATGGCTGTAATGAATACTAGTTTTTTACCAGTTAATAGCAAGTAACAGCTGGTACATCAAAAACTGGCAAAATCTTTCAAATTTACATATTAGTACAGCCCTAAATATGGGGACCCATTTAGTCTAGTGGCAGAGACCTGATTCCAAGTCAGGAAGTACAGCTCCCTCCCATGGGAGGGAAACAAGACCCAATGTATTATATGTTGGAACATGTGGTTTCACTTAGTGGTGAAGCAAGGGCAGAAACAGTAAACTGCAGTGCGGGGTGTACACAGGATGATGATGCTCACTAGGCTGAGAATCTTAATGCCTGTTGTGAGTCATATTTGAATAAAGATATGCTGAACTGCATTGAAAAGCTGCATAGGCATAACAGCATTTCTTAATCATTCCATTTGGTAAGGGTTTCAGTCTGTTTAGTTGTTTCATTTAAGTTCCATCTGACACAACTTCTGTGAATAGATGAGATTTACAAGACCCTGGTTCAATGTATATTACATAAATTGATCCAAATTGAAAAAGGGCAAAAGGCCAAAGGAATTTTTAATGATGAGATGATTATATTCAACAAATGAAGAATATGAAGGCTGTCCCCTAATTTGTCTGCAAGCATTAATAAATATAAATGAAGCACAGGCAGGCGCATATTATTGTAGGCCGGCCTAAACAGTAGCTGCAAACCATGAAATATGAATGTCAAAATTCTTCATATCCCAAAAATCGGAATTAATTTGAAGCAGTTCCCATTCAACACTTTCGACCCTGGTGGCTTAAGTGTGCTATGAGCGTAGGACATCATGTGACAGCTCAGGGTGTTAACAGCCTAGTTGTTTCATTAAATCTCATGAGTTGTAATAGGTAATCCAAAGAGCATTGCTTGGTTTAACTGGCTCATGTCCAGTTACAAATGGATATATGCTGATAGAATTTATAGCATAAGTTTCAGTTAACCAAATATACATTTAGGTTGAAAAAATACTATTTTTTTGGCCAATATGCTTTGTCACACTTCAATTTTTCTCATCTGTGAGAAAATGCAAAAGAAACTAAATAAAATGACGCCAAATAACCATATGCTAAGGCCTACGTTAGTGGCAAATATTGAGGTCTACAATTATACTTGCCGGGAGAAAGAAGTCTGTTTCACTTCACATCAAAATTCGAAATTATGGTTCACTAAGTCACCCCCAGTAGGATGAGGAATTACCATATGCTTCGATAAGTAGGCTAATGTCACCTTATGACTCAAGGAGCCCCAGTCACGGGACTACGAGGCGAACGGCACGGCGCCATTACTGAAATGGAAGATGGCCTAAGCGGGCCTTACCAACGTCTGCTGATAGAGGTGTCCTCCGAATTTATTTTATGTGTATTCCAACAATTTTTTTACAGGTTGGATGAAGTATATACTTCATTCCATGTGCACAAAGAAGAAAGTCTATGGGTGATCATAATCATATTTATCGTGGCCATCATCTCATCAGCCGGTAATTGTCTGAAAATTAGGCAATTAATGAGTTATCGATGTTATAAGTTAATGAAGTAATTAGTATTAAAATTACTTATTACTTGCTTTATTTACTCCTGTCCGTTCTTCCTGAGCCTCTTCTGCACTTTCTAAATAAGTAGGAGGAGGTTCTTAAGCTCAAGCCCTGAGAAGCTCCGACTTTGCTTCTCTTTGACACGTCACATATCAAGAATGTTCTGGTGTGAGATTCAAAATGCATATAACGGGAACGAGAAAATAACACTTCCGACTTAGTTCAATGTATCTCGCTCCCACTGGAGCTATTTTAACGAAACCATCTCTGTTAATAGATGGATATGTTTAAAAACATATCTGCGAAATTTATTATATTTTGATTAATTGCTCCTAGGCCATTTCTGAGCGGTGATTAAAAGCAACTTGGACAATTACAATGGACTAGAGCTCGTGCTGGTAATGTAGTGGAGGACATGCTCGAGTGCTCTATTCGCATATCATTCAGGTTACATACAACTTCTCTTCCATTTACAAGGGACATCCGAAAAGTAATGCACACTGAGGGACCACACCAGCAGGGATGATGCAATCATCTTTAAACTGGCACAAGAGGTAGTCAGTTGTGTGATGTGCGTCATACTGACAAGACGTGTAGTGAGGTCCTCTGTGTCCCTTTTTGTAGAACGCAACAATGGCAACTGCAAACGCGTCAGGTCAAGTTACTCGTGAGGACCAGAAATCGTACAACAAAGTTGAACGTGTGCGGTGAAGGAACTGTGGATCGTAGTACTGTATCTCGGTGGGCATCACGTATCCGCAATGGGCGACGCAGTATTGCAGACTATGCGAGAGCAGGACGCCCGCGAACCACAACTGACAACACCTCCATATCAATCGTAGCCTCAATTGTGCCCAGCGCGGAAATATGATGCCCACCGAGATACAGTACTACGATCCACAGTTCCTTCACCACACATTTCTATCAGTGCATCGTGGATTTCTGTTGGTGTTTTCCCACGCGAAAGTTTCAACTTTGTTGTACGATTTCTGGTCCTCACGAGTAACTTGACCTGACGCGCTTGCAGTTGCCATTGTTGCGTTCTACAACAAGGGAGACAGAGGAACTCACCACACGTCTGGCCAGTATGACGCACATCACACAACTGACTACCTCTTGTGCCAGTTAAAGACGACTGCATCATCCTTGCTGGTGTGGTCCCTCTGTGGGCATTGCTTTCGGATGACCTTCGTAACTTCACTTTTTAGGCTGACCTTTTTCGTGCAGATTGTTTTGAAAAACTTCCTTCCAATTAAAAGCAATTCATATTAATCAATAATTATCAAAACAGAGTTTTCTCTTATAACTTATTCATATTTTAAACTTAATGTCACACTTTTCATAGAATATATCCCCTCACCTTCCTTCGTGGACTATAGTTTGAACGTGCACAATGTTCAAGGTGGTACGAATTCACTTGCAAATAGCTATATTCTAGGGTGACAAACTGTCCCTCATACAGCAGGGCGATCCCGAAAATCGATTGAATGTCAGACCACTAGAACAGGAATAAAGGTAGTGGTCAATTTGGCTGGGGATCATTAGTCTGGACTTGGCTGAGAGAATCGATGACGATCTGTCAGGATCTACGAGTTAAATATCCTGGCACAGGATAGACAATTCTCTCGTGTGCGGTTTTCTTTGAGTAGATTCTGCATTTACTCAAAGAGCATCGCAGTTGGTGTCTCCAGAGAAGGTTCAGGAGTGATAGGGAGATAAGGATAGAGATTTAGAGGGTGTCTCAGAATTATGGAAAGGGTTCCAAAAGTTTATAACTTGCGAACCGTACGAAATAATATCCTGAAATCGGTGCCAAAGGAAAGCTAATTTTTCAAAGAATTTTCTTTGGGTAATCTTTTCAAAATTCATTTCGATGACGTCGTCGTTGTGAGGAAGATGGTGATTATGTAAGAAAAAGCTTATTGCATAACGTGGCTGGTGGGATTTAAAATCAGTGATTTTTGAGCGAGTGAGTTCCGTTGGGTACTTCACATAGACACAAGCATTTCGCGATAGCGTTATTAGTATAGGACAAAAGCAGTTGAAAAACACGGAAAGTGTCAGCCATGGAAGGGAGTAGATAGGTTGAGTTCATTTGTTGATATGAATAGCTCTTGTGACGCATTTGCAAAGAGTCCCCGCAGGTCTGCTCCCATCCGGCGGATGATACTTCCCGTGTTACTACTAGAGCCATTTTCAGATAGCGTTATCACCGGGCTAAGCTCTGTGATAGGCCGATGGATCTCGCAATTGCTCACAAATCGCCGATATAAACCCCATCAGCCGCCTCAGGAGCTATTTTTATTCAAGGTCGCCTTCTCGCTCACCCTGATGATGTCATGTTATGGAGGCTGAATAAATTACATGAAGGAAACTTTGAAAGAGGGGTTTCCATTGGCGCCAACAGCTTCGGAACTTTATTACTCGGGACAGTTAAATGAAAAGCAGCAATTAATTCCTATTAGTTGTGCATGTAGCGTTTATTGAAAATACTCTCCATGGGCATTGCGATCATTGTCCCACCGCTAAACCTGATTTTTTTCTGTCACTGTCGTGGAACAACATTGGCTATCTGGTAGTATCATGTTCTCACCTTTATGACGTCATCGTCCGAGTGGTATCGACGGCCCCTCAACGTCCTCTTCAAAGGGTGTCATCGTCTAAATCAGTGGTTCTCAACCTTCCTTTTACTCCCATTGAACCTTCATGCATTCGAGGGGGTGACACCTCCCAGGTTGAGAACCACTGGTCTAAATGATGACACCTGGTTTCATCACGTGTCACGATTTTGGCCAAAAAGCTGTCTCCTTTAGTATGATAGCTCTGCACATGTGCGAGACGCGAACACATGCGGACATAACGTTACTTCTGGTCTTCGGTCGGGCACTTCGGTATCCGTTTCGGAGGTACTAAATGGTACTGGAGGCGATCTTGGACGGTCATGTGCACAGACCTATGGTTAACCCCACCTCCTCAACCCTCAACACGCGTCTGTTGGCTATAATCACCGAACTCTAACCACCTTCGCGATGTCGTCGTCCATGATGACGACATTAGAGAGTTTTGGTTACCCGTTTTTGAGGAGGACGGGGACGCGAACGTATTACTAGGCGTTCAAGTTCTAGATTTTCGAATGGCAGTTTGGCTACGCGTTCCAGATCTGGAACGGAGAGTAACATCCACGGATCTCACCGCAGATGGCGTGCGAACGGCACATAATTTAAGGGTATGGTCGACTCAGTGATACACAGCTAAGGTACAACCTGGTAAACTCATAAATCCCCAGATATCTAAATGTTATGCATCTCCCCCTTGTTTTGATCTACTGCAATTAAATTTTCTTTCCTTAAGAAGGGTTTTTCATTTTAGGAATGAATGCCTCAGTTTGCCTATTGGACTAATGTTCTTCATTCCTTTGTCTGTTCATCATGGTCGCATGTAGATATTGCAACCCTTGGCTACTACCAGAGTTCCTCTGTCCTATTTTCTAATCATTCACCATTCCCAATAACATATTATGCTTCCTTTCTGTCCGTCTCTCATGGCAAAGTAACCGAAGTTCACATCTGGGTTGTATCCTACTTCTCTGATGGGGAAGAGGACATGTCAGTTGCTGTCCTGGGGGATATTTGGCTAAAACCCAAGTTGTGGATGCGAGATAATTGTCAAGAAACCCATCTCGAGCAAAACGTACATTTTATCAGTCGGGAAACCCTTGCTGCAGACGCGAGACAATTATCTATAAATCCAAACTGGGCATACTGTGCCCTGAATTTCAGCTGCTTCGCCATCAATATTAGCTTTCCTTCCTGGATAATTGACTTGAACGAATCACGCGTTGTACCGAAGCTCACGCGCCTATCAAGTCGTTCTTGATTGGTGGATCTTGCGTCGCGATCACGTTCTTGAGAGAACTTCTGGAAGAGTCCCTCCACGTCTTAGACGTCTTCCTCACGCGTTTTAAAACTTCCGGTGACGTCACCAGTGACGTCAGCCGTCCTACATCCCTTTCCGTCCTCTCGAGAACGGGTAACCAAAACTCTATTGGCTCATCTGGGTCTGAATTTGTCCTCAATAAAGAGGGACCCGCCACGAAACTTTTTGCACCATCCATATCTCTAGGCCAAACATGTCCCACTATAAACGACAACTTTCTGTGATGGATACCAAGTGGTTTCGTTCCTTCTGCACACAAAAACTATAACAACCCTCTGATGTTCCTTGGACCCCCCTTCAATGGAGGTAGCTATCATTACCAGGTTAGGGCGTATGTAATTCTCCTCAAGCAGAGATGCCAATTACATTTGTAACGCTACTCTAGAGTACCTAAGCTTTATACACGATGCCATGAAGATGCGTCATTCCTAAAATTTTTGGCGCAACTTTTGCTGTTTTCGGTTGACTGGCCCTAGTACATATGGTTCATGGGGGACACATCTTTTAAATCCCTTCAATAATTCTGGGACACCTTGTGTCTTTTCGGTACGAGCTCCTATGCCTCTTCCTTGTCCTCCCCACTTGCCATATCTTTTTCTGTCTTCTCCAACCCAAGTCAAGTCAAGTGCAACGGAAACTTGGATGACATCTTTGAATGGGAATTAGGTTTTATATTAATTCTCAGTAGAAAGCGTCAGCACTTATTAGGTTTTGCCAAGTGCCCAAGAGTGAAGAAAATATGGGGGTTTATTTTGAAATTTTGGAGATACATTGAAAAAACATAACATCCAGAAGTGAGTTTACTATGCACTCTGAGGCTTGTTTTTCGCCTAAATGAAGACTTCTCCAAAATGTGAACTAAATCTATTTTCTACAGAGATTACAAAGAGTACAAAGAGCAACCAAGCCTTTTTCTCACCGAAGCTAAAGCTAAAGCG